GGCTCCGTGAATGAGAAAAATTAGAGAGTGAAAGTCGAGGAGAGAGAGGGCAGCTAAACTGTGCAAGATAAGGTAGCTGCACATATTTCTTCTGTTTAGGAGCGGTACATACAGAATAGGAGAGAAGGCGTTGTGTCTTCTATGTGATTTTATACAAATGTGGAGATGCTAATTTGAACAGTATACATCAACCAACCGATCAAGTCAAGAGACCGAAAATCATGCATACACATCGCATGGAATTATACGTATCCTTCCGTGAAACAATTTTACGGTGGATTTTCTTTTTTTTTTTTGAATTTAAACTCAACAAAAAAAATCATTAAATTAACACTCCCCCTTAATGACTTTTTTCACCAATCCCCACCTTTTCCCGCAATTCCTCAAATTTAGCTTTAGACAGGGCCTTGGTTAGAATGTCTGCAAGCTGATCATCAGTGGAGCAATGTATCAGCTTTATTTCTTGATTCCTCTCAGTCTCACGTATAGCATGATACTTAACGTTAATGTGTTTAGTTCTTCCGTGCATTACAGGATTTTTCGCAATGACAATTGCAGACTTGTTGTCTACATACAACACTGTAGGTGTTTGTTTGTCCAGCTTTACATCATTGAACAACTTCCTCAACTAAATTGCTTGGTTAGTTGCTGTAGCTGCGGCTACATACTCAGCCTCAGCTGTGGACTGAGCCACAGTATCCTGTTTCTTAGATGCCTATGAAAAAACACCGGAGCCTAGTTTGAACAAGTATCCAGTTGTGCTACATGCATCTTCTACGCTTCCTGCCCAATCACTGTCATTGTAGCCGACTAATCCACTATCAGCTCTTGCTTTGAATTGAACATCAAAATTTCAGGTTTCTTTCAAGTACCTTAGCACATGTTTGGCAGCTTGTAAGTGTGATTCCCTCGGTGAAGCCATGTACCTTGAAAGCAAACTTACTGCAAACAAAATGTCTGGTCTGGTAGCTATGAGATACAGAAGGCTCCCAATCAGACTCCTATAATTCTCATCTTCAACTTTGCTACCTTTCTCGTTCTTTGACAATTTCACGTTGGACACTAGTGGTGTAGACACTGATTTACAGTGATTCATGTTGAATTTATTTAGAATTTCTTTGGCATACTTTCCT